GCTATATCTCGGTGTATGATACATTTGCGCTCTCACAATTGTTACATTTCCCACTGCATTCAGTTATGATGGAATTCTAAATGTCAATCATGTGCTTGTCATCCAAGTCTGGTTTTATGCAGGATGAATATTTAATGAAGTTGTAGAAAATTTTTCAATTAGATATCAGTTCTGGAACAGATGCTCTGAAATATTCTGCGTTTTAAGTCTCAAAGAAAAAACTCAAACATCATTTTACATTTGATTACATTAGATATAGATGAATATCAGTGTGTTTTTATGCAATCACAATGATTTGTAGAAAGAATTTAACGTCAAAGATAACGCTTAAAAAAATTGATGACAAGTGCACCGAGTTCTTGTTATGATTACTTTTAGATTTGATAGGAAAAGTTTGATAACAGCAGGTTTTAAGAATATCCGCTGTTTAACAGACCATAAGAAATATAGGATGACAAGTTGAGCGACAGCCAATACACAATTATATACTTTCAGAATAATGTGTGTAATGCAACCCCCTTCATAGCGACACAGCTGCATCTCTTTACCCCTTCTCCGCCTCAGCGCCTTCGTCAATATTTTCATGATTTTATAGAAATGATTCAGAAATTTAGGGAAAGTATAAGGTTATCTGCTAATTAACAGATGCCCGTTTAATAAACAAACTGAACATTTATAGAACTAAGCTGTTTTAGCATTCCAAACTGATTAGTTCCATAAACAATACTAAAAAATATATTTTATCAAAACTCTCAAGATTTGCTTTCAGGCCCTTTTTTTTTATTAGAATGAAAAGGATAAAATGAGTAAAAGGGGACTAAAGTTTGTTTTCCTGTTTAGCCTAGGATCGATATATTTTATTTTTAACTAAGATGTACATCAAATTTTCTTCACTTGTTAAAATATAAATTAATATAGCATTTTAAAAATTATGAAATATTTATTGGTATGCCGCTGCAAGTAATTAATAATATCTCTCTAAATAATAATTGGCTATGTAAATAACCTAAATAATAATTTCTTATTAACATTCGAGCCCTTTATTCATCCAGTGAGACATTTTTTTTGCTGACTACATTTTTTTCTCTGTGAATAAGTTTTGAATTACATTTTTTTTAAAAAAAAAAATGAATACGCGCTTTTCCGTATGCAAGTAATTATGTATCAGAGGAAATTATATCAGCAAATTATTACAGCACAATGAATCACTGTCCATAACATTTTATATTCTTATTTGCTCTGTTAGAATTTATTTAAATAAACTACAAATATGGAATTGATTATCAAATTATTGAACAAATTTTAAAAGTTGTTTTGAAGAATTGTTGATTCTAACTTGTATTCTTCTCGTCTTTTTCTGAATGAATTCAAGAATTAACAGAAGGAAAAATATTACATTAGATTCGAAGAAGATGCTTTCTCAGTTGTGTTAAATCATTCAAAAAGAGTTAAAAATTAATTACTAATAGAAATGGGATTGTCATCGTATCTGTTGAAATTAGAATAGTCGACACTAACAACTTTTAAAAAACTTTTTATCAACGAAGTTTTTTTTTTGTGACTTATAATTTAAAGAAAAAAATGCAAAATAATTTCTTTCTTGAAAGACAAATGATGGATACATTGAAAAAGGCGTGGATTTTGATTAAAAAAATTCTGCTGAAAGAGAATTTTTCTTATGAGCATGGCGGAATCGACGCAGTTCAACCAATCACTTAGCAGTATCATCATTATTAACGAGTGATTGCTGCTATACCATTTTCTGAGCTCATAATGTATCGTAAACTATCACTGTCATATTACTCACTTTTTTGAATTACTTTCGTCCAAATATTCCAAATCAAATTTGAAACGAGATAGTTAATTGACCAAAAGATTTTTGCTTTTAGACAGCCTTTGCTGAAATGAAGTAACTTATAACCTGCTATTTCATCGTGTAATTGTGGATAGTAACAGTTAATTTCGGTTGTGGTTCGTTGACATGCTTGGACATTCATACAAGATGTCATTTGCAGTGGACACTTACCTGACCGCCCCTCACAATAACAATTATTTCTTTACCCATTCCCTTCTCTAAACCAATTTTTCCCTCTTTTCTGCCTCTTAAAATCATGTCTTCCTTCCATATCCGGTACCAATCATTCAGCTCTGGTTACCCTAAACAGATATTATGTGGTCGAACCTTCAAGCTCATTCTCTAAACCTTTTCTCTTCACCCAACCTTCCATCTTTCTCGACCTCTCCTCCAAATATAATCATTTGCTAACTATTTAATAACTAAAGCCTCTTTTGCTATTGTTATTTTCTTCATTTCTCTATTCATCGTATACAGCTAAATTCATTTTTCTCATGTTTTGTTTTATTTCATTTCTTGAACCAAATTAAACTATTAAAATTATTTTTTATCTCGATTTAAGAGTATGGAGAATTCATTATGATAAGAAATTATGGCTAATCTTACAGCTGAAAATATTTTTTTTTCATCAGTTAGCATAACAGTTTATACAACCGAGTCATGCATACCTGAAAATCTCTTTTTATTTAACTTACTGATTTCATTTTTTTTATTTAACCTATTCTTGCTTATTTATAGAGATTTCTTAATAAAATACTTTTTTTAAAAAAAATTAGTCATCAATTATTTTATAGTAAATTTATCTTTAGAAGTTTGTATATTTCCTGCTGCTTTAGAATCTGTTTGATTTTTTTCGGATTACCGTTCAATATTTAAATGTTGAATAAGCATTAAAATACAAATTGATTTATGTGCATACAATATTTACACGAAGAATTAGCCAAATCAATTATTATTGTGATATTGAATGAGTGCCAGCATTTTCTGTCTCCATTTGTTCCATCTTATACCTTCAACTGCTTCAAAAATTTTTTTATTCTAGATTGTTATCTTTTTAGAAACTCGAAGTTACTTTATTACTAAAGAAAATATTTTGCAATTTTCTTCAGGCATTGAAATTATGATTAGATAGATATTTAAATGAATTCTTAAGAGAAAAGAAAAAGACCTGCTGTGAACTTGTCTTTTTTTTATCCTTAACCTTAATGGAGATCTATTAAATATAAGTAGTAGGTATTCAGAGAAGAGAAGTAAAAGGAAACTGTCATCCTCTATTTCTTCCCAACTCCTTTATTTAACTTCTCAGCAACACTATTTAGTCACTCTTTTACTCATAGCTTCTTTGCATAATTATGATCACATGCTGTTCAAAGGTCAAAAAAACAATGGTTGTGGCGTTGTTCAGTCCTGGAAAGAACCAATATAAGACAGACATTCCTCTCTCTAATTGCTTGTAGACTTTGTTTGCAGAAATAAGTAATTTGAGCTTTGTGTTCTACTGAGCACTTAAAGTCTTGCGAAGGCTAAATGCGTCTATTTGCATCATTCGAAATGCTGTTCTGTCACTTTTGCGCCACACACAATTGCTCACCTGTCGGAGGAAGCAAACTAGGATAATACTTAAATCTGATTTTATTTCATCACTTATTGAAACGTACAGTAAAAAGACTAACATTTTAGCAAGCTTTTTGCACTTTTCTTCTAGTTTTTTTAAAATAGTGTTTTCGGAGTGTTCAAATTTCAGTAATCGAAAATTTAATATGAACTTGTTTTTCTCTTCTGCTAGGATTTCTGGTGTATAGTAAGTCATATCTATCTTCCAAATGTAAACACAAAACTCCTTTCCATAATCTAAGAAGTATTACTTTAGTCCAAACTCATTCAGTTCTTTTCACTTTTCCTTTCTTCATTTTCTCATTTCAAGCGACGTTTTCACATTTTGAATAATTATTTATATTTATAAACCAAGAATTTGAGCTATTTAATGCTCTAATTTAGTAATAATCACTACTGGTCTTAAGTTTTCATATCTCTTCCTAAATAATACATATTACTTAAAATGAAATTATGAATCAAGATATCTCTGATATTTTCATTTCAATATGCTCCAAATAGTCATTTCTGCATTTCAATAAATTAGAACTGACGAGATTCTTACTGACAGATAAATTCACTACAATTACACAAAACAGCCCGAAATATTTTTTTTTCTTGCTTATCATTCGCATGAAATTAAAATTCTGCTAAAATTTTACCAATCCGCTAAAATTCATTATACAAGAATTCATTATGAATAACTTTTTATAATATCTATTAAATTTTAATGGATCTAGAAAGACTTAGACAAGAAATAAACATGATTTCAAATATTTTTCATTTTACTATTCTTAAAATACTTCAGAAGTCATTTTTATACTTCATGTTGAAGATGTTCTTCCGCTTTTTCTGAAAGATTTGACAGCCCTAGTGTCCCCAAAACATATAAGCAATTTCACAAGCACAACTACTTTTAATTTTTCCTTCTCATTTTCGTTTCGATAGTTCTCAAAAATTTTTTTATTATCTTCTCATTTTTTGGTTAATTTTCATTTTAAACTTTTCAAAGTTGCTATGATCAGTTTGCATACATCAAATACAAAAAAAAAAAAAAATATTAATAAATTACTGGCATTTACTATTTTTGTTGTTTCCGTAATTTTTTAGAGTTATTCAAATCAATTTATTTCTCTTTTCCGCTATCTATCTTCTCATACTTTTTTTCCAGTGCTTACTCCACCTATCGAGAGTTATCTGATGCGAAAGTCGGATTTTAGGAAAGTTGAGGTTCTTTCTCTTATTACTATTACTGCTCATCACCTTCTCTTTGATCGTACTTTGCTCTTTTAATTTAATATTGTTTCTAAAAGTTAATCGAAAGTGAAATCACTTAACTCATCCTTTTTTTCTCTCTTAATTTTTGTTTCTTCAGGCATTTGTAAAAGAAAAGAAGAAGAAGCGAACAACATCAAAGAAGTTAACCTTACACTACTGCTAATATCTACCTAAATGCTACGATGAATAGAATAAAAGGCAGAAATTGTGCTAAATAACGAGCTATTAATCTTCATTAAAATTTCGTGCTAATTATATCTTAAAAATGATGAGAATGTATCATTATTATCTGGTAATGTTATCATTATCAGTTCAACTTCAAATTATTGGAGGGACACAAAGGTGTGAAACTATTACCATACCTCTTTGTAAAGGTAAGTATTAATACGAAATTGAGAATTTATGGATGATTCGGTTTAATAGGCCATTTTAAAGAACTTCAATTGCTTTGAAATTCTCTGTTGGAGGAAATTGTTTTGCTGTAAAGACTATAGTAGTTCAAATTTCCTTTTGTAAGCCTCTGTTAGAGGAATTAGTTTTGCCATGGAAGATGACTTTACAATACTTTTCAAACTGTTTTCTCATCGAAAGTTAATATGCAGGCATTGGCTACAATATGACTAGGTATCCAAACAGTTATGGCCACGAAAAACAAGAAGAAGCTGGCCTTGAAGTCCATCAATTTTACCCTCTTGTGGAGGTGAACTATTCTATTCTACCTTTCGTTACTTCGAATTACTTCCATTCCTATAAAATAAACGTCAAAATATTTCTATCTTTGTTAGACCGACACCAATAAAAGAAAAAATACAAATTGGTACAAATTTTCAAGCATTTCGTCATGAAAATTTTGTTGTAAACAAAGATTAGAATTTCGATTGAAAAAACATGCAAAATAGAAGAGAAAATTTCATTTCAATCTTACAGGTCGGTTGTTATAAACATCTTAAATTCTTTCTTTGTGCAATGTATACACCGATATGCCAAGATAATTACGAAAAAATGGTGATGCCTTGCATGGAAGTAAGTTCTCTTTTCTTTTGAACAATTGTTCGATAACAATTAATTCTCACTGATTTGATTATGAAAACTGCTTAGTTTTAGGCAAACTGTTTCATATAGAGTTACACTTCAAAAACTTGATATCATAGTTTGTTTTAAAATTGTTATGATTTAATCAGATGAGCAACTAAATGCGTTACCAATTGAAATTAATAAATTATATTATAAAGCAATTAATCAGCACGAATTACAATTCAGTTAAATTAAATTATTAATTACAGCTTGTCGTAATTTTCATCTAGCAGAGGATCAATACATTAAATTTAACTTGAATTATCACAATGATTCTAGGTTTGTCTGGAAGCAAAGAAGCGCTGTAGTCCACTGATGCAGCAATACGGTTTCAAATGGCCTATAACGTTAAGCTGTGAGCAGTTGCCAAGGATAAGCGAGCAGCAGACGACAGGAAATATTTGTGCCGCTCCACCGGATACTCCCGATCCAAGTATTTTGGATCCCACCGATGTAAGTGCTGCAAAAACTTTTCTGGCATAGTTGCTGTTGAAGGAAGACAATATCAAATTACTTGCATCTGTTTCAATATCATTTTACCAGTTGTTGTTACTAAATCGTCAAACAAACTGCTGTATGCATTATATTTTTCCTTCAGAAAGAAGCATTTTGAATCCTTCCTAATTACAAATATTAATTTTTGATATTTTAAATTATAATTAAAACACAATAGAGGACACAAGTCAAATTTGCAATTTATATTCTTGAAAATCACATTTTCTGTTTAAGCTTAAATTTGGAAAGTTTTTTCATCTCTCTAATCTGAAATCATGCCCTAGAGTAGATTTATATTTTAATTTAATAAACTTATCTTTATTGTAATTTTGCTTCAGTCTGGAATTACTTCTTCCATACGAAATCGTCATCCAAATTATCCCATCATTGGTATCAATACAATTGAGGGTGAATGTAAATGCCGATGCAGTAGACCATTCTTCAATGTTTTGGGCAGTCCAGCGAGTGTTGCCAATGTTTCCGGATGTCTATATCCATGTCATAGTCCGGAACAGAGTCTCAAGGATCAAAAATTTCTAACGGCTTGGATTACTACATGGTCTAATGATTTATTTATATCTACTGTCTTCTCTAAAATTACAACTCAGCAGAGAAATGCATAATTATGAATAAAGGATAATTTTATGATTATATCTTTAATATGAACATATCAATCATTATAAACAGTCGCTATTACAATCTCTATTATCGCACTAAAAGAGAGATAGATATTCTAATTGTGATATGATTAAGTGAGAGAGATAAATATGTAATGTATATCGTAGAATATTTTACAGGTCTGGAACCTGCTTTATACTATCAGCGTTCACTGTACTAACATTTTTGATAGAAACGGAACGCTTCCAGTATCCAGAACGGCCGATATTTTTGTTAGCTTTCTGCCAATTGATGGTATCAATAGGATTTATCATTCGTATCATCTATGGACATGAACATATTGCATGTGATACGACGACAATAAAAGCTAATGATCAGCAGATGAATCTTTGTCAGCTGGTAAGAAAAGTTTAACATTCTAATTTACTTCACTACATCAGATAAGTATGCATGAAGATGCCTTCATGCGACATTACCGCTTGTAATTTTGTATTATTTTCGCAAAAAGTTTCTCAGAAAACTCACTATTCATTTCAGATTTTCCTTCTAATCTACTTCTTCGGAATGGCTGGATCGGTCTGGTGGGTTATTCTTTCCTTAACGTGGGTCCTAGCAGCAGCTAGCAAATGGTCAAGTGAAGCGATTGCGAGCTACGCAAATTATTTCCATTTCGTTGCCTGGTCCCTACCTGCTACTCAAACGATCGCGGTACTAATTTTCGGTGCTGTAGATGGTGATCCATTAAGTGGAATTTGTTATGTTGGCAATACCAACGTCGATTATCTCAAAACTTTCGTTTTTGGTAAGCTCTTTTTCACTATCTTCCAGAGACTGATTTTCAGTTGCACATTTGTAAATTAAATCATAGAAATATTAATGGAGAACTATTCTCAAATGCTAAATAATTTGCATAAGCAGCGGAGAACATTAATACAATAATAATGATGCATTTAGTTCCACTAACAATATATCTTATCATCGGTGTGTGCTTCTTGGTTGTCGGCTTCTTTAATCTATGGCGGATACGTTCCCTAATGCAGAAACACCATCCGGGTGGTGACAATACGTCGAAAATGACGCAGCTTATGTCTAAAATTGGTATTTTCTCGGTGCTCTACATAGTACCAGCTATATTTGTCCTGATGGTACTATCCTATGAGCAACATTACCGCCCGTTGTGGGAACGATCCCAACTATGTAATTGCGCAGAGCAATTCGACCAACAAGGTAAGCAAGAATTGTTACTGTTTTTGCCATTTGGCAAGAATTACTATTTAATCAATGTAACTCATGCAGCTACTTTAATTATTTTCATGAGATGCTTTCTACATTTCAGATTAGGATTTTCAAAAAATTAGTAGAAATGATTGATATTATGTAATCACTATTCCAGCGGACACATTTACATTATTAGCATTGATAAAAAGTGCATCGATGCTTGTTATTGGTTGGACTTCGGGTGTTTGGATCATTTCGAGAAAAACAATTCAGGTCTTTATCAGCTGATAATTTGTTGTTTTGATTGATTCTTTTTCATTATCACAATTTAATTGCTGGAAAATGAGACAAACAGAGTTCACTATGTATCATTTAAAAACATTACAAAAAAATGAGCTTTTAAATCGAAATATTCAAAATCGTTAAAGCCAATAGCTTCTAAAAAAATTGTTTTATGAAATATTATCTTTTGTCACAGCAATAGAAGCACAATCCAATATGAAAATCATGATATGAGTTCGGAGTATCAACTAGTTACGCTTGTATTGATTAATTAACAGTTAAAGAGAGAAGATATTCTTGAATAGTTTCAAATATTTTTAGTGTTTTTTAAAATTTTTTACATCGTTAAATAATTCAATTGTAATCTAACTATTAACAAGAAAATGTAAATGAGTTAATTAAAATACTCATTGTTATCATCAAATTTCTTATCTCTGCACGCCTTAATTTGCAAATTTTAATTCAATAGTTTATCAATTTTTAGAGTTGGAAACGTGTACTGTGTTGTCTGCATAGATCGAAAATTTCAAAGCACAAATATCAGGCAGCAGATATAATTTATGCTCGCAGTGATTGTATAACACCACATATGTATAACAAAGCAGTACGGCACTATCAGGGCTACAGTACACCCATTTTACCGGAAAAGGTTTAAAGTTTTTTTTCCCGTCTCTCTTTTGAAAAACGACGACGAAAAGAGTTTCTGTAGTATGAATTATACGTGCATTGATCTCATTAATTTTATTGCCGTTTTTAAATGGAAGGGAAGCAGCATCTCCTAGAAATTTTTTGAAATTATATAAATTCCCCAATACTGTGCTCTGAGCGATAGCAAAAAAATCAAAAAGAACATTATCACTGCAGAAATGATAGTTTGATCTAATTTGATTTTTATGCAAAAGTCAACTACCGTCTTTAATGTATAACTATCGACTAATCTTTAACAGCAGTCCTAGTGTTTCTCTTCAAATCTATGAAATTAAAATACATTGGAAGGAGTTGCTGTTTTTTTTTTTTTTTTTTTTTTTCAAAAAATCTGCTGTATGATGTTGAAATATTTCATTGTTATTATTATTGTGATGATATAAAGTACTTTTTGCTCGAACTACTTGTATTAAAAAAAACACATTGTTAATTTATCTAATTTCCAAAATTTCAGACCCAAAAAAACAGAGAAGTTCTATTCGAAACTATGGAATAGTTATTTCTGGAAATGTAGTTCATCCAGAAGATTCTTATGCTATTAAAATATAAACTATAAATAAGCATTTTCTTTTATTTTGAAAAATACCTCAATTTATGTGAATTTACCCATGCAAATTTTTTCTGTTTCTTTGTTTATGTACAGCAGTTACTTTATTATTATTTGTGCGTAATTTGTATGATTTTGTATCTTACAGAGATCGAATCTCATTGCCATTTGTTTGCTTCCATATTTTATCTTTTCTTTTCTTAAATGAGAACATTTCGAATGAAAATGTAATTTGTACATATGTTAGAAAGATATATTGAAATTTCTATCGTCACTTTTAAATTAGGAATGAATTTCTTTAGCAAGAAGATTTAACTGGTCCTTCACTTCTCGTGAAAAATTTCATGAAAAAACTTCCAACTTCAGCTGGAAGATATTTACAAAATTGAGATGTAATTCTTTGTATTAGGGATCTTTTTCTTTCCTTTAATGTTTGATTAATTATTATTAGTCAATTCTGTATATAGCAATAGATGTGCAAAGCAGTACACACTTACACTACTGCGAAAAGAATAAAAATTTCAAATGTCGGAATTTTCACTTTAAATTTATGTTATCACATGATGAGACAAAATTTCTAATGCGAAAATGCGAAGAATGCAGGAAATTTCAAGAAGTTTAGCTCTTATAGATCCTTATCATTTCTTTATCACTCAAAATTTGCATAATCCTTCCTACGTAAAGCTTGTTGTATAGATATTTGCCATCGTTATTATTGCATGAAGTGTAATGCATTCTTGCGCATACACTTTATTTGTTTATCAGTTCATGCAGAAATAAATTGAGACTTTACTTGTCCTTCTGATATAATACAATTCATACTTTAATAGAAATTTAAATTCAATTTATTGTTTTTTATTTCAAATTTATTCAAAAAAAAAAAAACTATGCCAAAATTTGATATGTGATAAACTAGACGATAAATAAAAGATTCATCGTTGTAAGGGAGAAATGTAAGGGTGAAAGGTTACCATCTGGAAAGCATGAAGTACCCAAAAAGGGTACTTCACAGCAGGGTACACAAAAATACTGGATAAGTATGGCTGAGTGCATATGGTTCAGCTGAAGTAGTTCAAATACTAACTAGTGAATGACGATAATTAGATCCACTTAAAATATCTCATTAAGGAATATCTATCATCACTGCATATTTTATGCAAGCATAGATAACTTATATCGAGCAATAAGATAGCGGATTTTTAGGGTCAAAAAATTTCTTAATTGTGGACTTGTTTGCAAATCAGTGCTGAGCTCTGCATATTTACAAAGATCAACAATGAATATAAAACATCAGATTAAAGGTCAATTTTTAGTCTTCATTAAATGTTTGGTCAGACCTCTTATATCTATCTATCATTGTTCATTTTTACAACAACCTGTTTAACTCACCTTATTGACATTATGTTAATAATGATGACTCACCTCAGTCTCTTGATGTAACCTTCTCTGAAACAGATATTACCTTCAGCACTTGTAGATTCTGCCTTTCTAACAATGGAAATTTTTTTCCCTTTGAAGATTTTTTGATATAAATCTTTGAAAAAAGTGATAATCGGCAAAAAAAATGACATATTTAATAAATCCTAAAATGCAACATTCTTAAAAAAAGTTATTTTAAGTGGCTTTGCATAATTTAACTTGATGATAACACTGCTAGTTTTATGCATGAAAGACTAATACTTGAATTAAAAAATAGAAAAGAGTAAATTATAATTCAATGTCACTTATTTAAAAAGAATAAAGTGAAAAAATCAGTGACTAATCTGACAAGCACATAAAGGAGTTTTATCATAGGCACAACATTTTACTCCTATCTTTGCTAATTAAATTGAATCTGACAAGCACTGACGATGATGCGGTATATTGCGCTTTACCTAAAGCGGCGCGATTGACTACCAAGTATTCATTGGCATAGTAAAATATTGTCATGCTGAAAAATACGGTTCACATTGCTCTGTTTAATAGCAGCTGTTGATGTCTGGAAAAAGTCAGTGAATTTCGAAGTACATTTCATCGCATTGATTATTCCTTCCCTTTGATAATAGCGAAGTGATAAGCTGGTTGCTTAGCTGATAAAGATCGACACAAGTTTAACTTTAGTCCCATTTGAGTGGTATTTGTGTTGGTAGTATCTGCTAGTAAGCTAGCGAAGAATGCATTCACTGAAAATGTTATCGATCTACGTAGCGATCGCTTTTCTTGCTTCCACATCTGTGTACTGCTTTAACCTGAAACATTCCCGGTTCTTTAATACTTTCATATATTTTTTAACGGACATTTTTTCTTACTTTTTTTTTATCAATTATTTTTTTATTTTTATTATTTTTTCACGTAATAATTCCTGGCATTCTATTCATGTATCTTGTAGAAGAAAAGTTCATTTTAAAAGGAATTGAATTCTCCTCATTAATTAGTTTTATGTCGAAATTTTCCAGCGCTGAAAACATACATGAAGAGTTATCTGAGAAACTGCATGGAAGCGGAAAAACTTGGGTAGTGCTTGTCGCCGGTTCTAATAGCTGGTACAATTACCGCCATCAAGTAACTTCTAAATAATTTCTCTTTCTGTCCAAAATTATTTTACTTTCAAAATTTCTGTAACAGACGTATTTCTTTACTTTTAGTCAAAAACCACTTATAACACTCGCATAGAATTCATTTTCTCATTCATAATTACCCGAATTATAAATTTAATATTTTAAAGGTCAAAAAACTCTCAACTATGACCACTTTGCACCTTAAAGTAGTGTCACAAAGTGTCATAATCATATAACTCGTTCTAGTCAGACATATGTCACGCATATCACGTTGTTAGAAGTCACGGAGTTCCGAAAGAAAATATCATTACAATGATGTATGATGATATCGCTTATAATAAGAAGTAAGTTTTGCCCAGTTTGTTCCACTTGAAGTAGATGATGAGCAAGCATTAAATGGTTAACTTTCAATTTAATCAGTTAAACTAGTAGACCGTTTCATTTCTTTATTAATTGCACTAACTGGTTGATTTGAACTGAAAATCTGAAAGAACTTTAAAAAATTGCTGGAAAACGTTAACACAGTCATGAGATTTCTTCATCTAGCAAAAAGACTTTTTCAGGAATCCATATCCGGGGAAAATATATAATGTACCTGGTGGTAAAGACGTTTATGCAGGTGTTGAAATCGACTATTCCGGAATTCACGTCACTGCGGAAAATTTCTTGGCAGTTTTAAGTGGAAATAAAACAGCGGTAAAGGGTGGTAGCAGTAAAGTAGTCGAAAGCACTCATTACGATCACATATTTGTGTATTTCACTGACCATGGCGGTGTTGGAGTAGTATGCTTCCCAGATTCTATGGTAAGTCCATTGCTCTATTTCTGACAAATTCTTGGATAACAATCTTTCAACAGTATTTATCAATTTTAAATTAGTAATGTAAATACCAAAAGTTTATTGTTTCAGCTAACTGTTAAAGATTTAAATGATGTACTGAAACGAATGCATAAATTGAAAAAGTTTGGAAGGCTTGTATTTTATATGGAAGCATGCGAAAGTGGCTCAATGTTCGCAAAAGTTCTACCCAAAAATATTGATGGTTAATGCTATTAAGAGAATGAAATCGTTGAGTTAGCTTAGTCATTAGTATTAAAAGTTTGTAATGACAGCTTAGATAAATAGCCCTGATGATCTTTTTTTACTTGATGGTCGATGGTCATTGCTTGCTATTACAGTTTATGCGGTAACAGCGGCGAATTCGCATGAAAGTTCTTGGGGTTGCTATTGCGATAATAAAATGAAATTACCTTGCCTTGGTGACTGTTTTTCCATAAATTGGATTGTCAATTCTGAAAAGGTTTGAATATAGGCATATCCATATTAATTTTGAATACCCATATTAATTTATTTGTTTCTAGTAATTTAAGTAAATATGGATGGATTATTTTTTATATATTCGTTGCAAAAATATTTTAATTGAAGAACTCTAATGTTAGCTAGTAAAAATGTCCTTCAGTTTGTAAATTTGATAAGTGTACACAAAATTGGATAACAGTTTTATATATTACCAAAATGAGTCCAAAATGATTACTATGATTTGAATAAAAATAAATTGAAAGAATAGCAAGATAAAACATTGTCTTGAGAATTTTATATTAAGAACCTTTCTACTGTTAAAGAGCTATTACTTAAATAATTTTATCATTTTAAATAGCAAGTAGCATTTAATTTGCCTGTAAAAATTGTTTTATAATTTTCCATGTATGCTTCGTTTTCACTATTTCAACTTAGAAATGCACTATTTCTTAATCTCAGCTTAAAAAAAAGTTAAATTTTATTTTAATTGCAAGTGCGATTTCTGATTTCTTCTTTTTTGTTTTGTTTACAGGAAGATTTGAGTCGTGAAACTTTAGCTTCTCAATTCGAGATTGTAAAACAAAAAACAAACACGAGTCATGTAATGCACTATGGTGATTTGAAAATTGCTCAGGATTACGTGGCTTATTATTTAGGCGACAAAAGAGCTGTTATTAAAAATCCTGATGATGATCTGGTATATAATTTTTGAATGACTGATAAAATGAATCTTTGAAACTAATCGCCTGATACTTAGCATCGATCTTGATCTTGTTTTTGGTTGTGGGATTAATATTGCTTAGATTAGTATCTAGTGAGAATTAGCTTATTTCTTTCCCAATATAAACTGGCCAACTATTTTACGAGTATCAATCTAAGTCCATTATGTAAGCAGTTGAATGTCATAGCATATAAAACTAGCCTGTATTGTATTAAGTTACTTCAAAATATACTCATATATATAAATATGCTCAAAATATAAGTATATCTCCTAAGTCACAGCAATATTTTGCTTGATCTTATATAAGTTGTATAAGACATATTTTAGTCATTTTTTATAGATGACTGTGGAAAGTAAAGAATCAATTTCTTGGCCTTCACGTGAAATTTACTTTCGGATTCTGGAGAGACAATTGAACGAAGCAGAAACACAAGCTGAACGAAGAGTTTTGCAGCATAAAATCCAAAAACTGACGATGATAAGTCATTTACGCTTTTATTTCTTTTCAAAATTAAAATTAGAATTTCAAACTTATCTTACATCGAAAGTACAAATGTTAATCAGAGAGAATCTCTATTTCAGAAACGATCATACCTTGAAACATTTATGAAGTCATTGGTATGGACCATAGTACCACATCAATCATATTCTCATTTCATGCATTCATCATCGCCAACAATAAATTCGTTAAACTGTTTCGATAATGTGATCAAAGCATTTCATCAAATGTGCTTCCATTTTGGCCAAGTATGCTTCCTTCCTTTTTCTCTTTATTATATGTATCTTAAAATTTGAGCCAATGCCTTGGCTATCCCAATCACTTTCACATTACTGTCTCCAGAAAAGAAGAAAATAAATATTAGTGAAAGTAAATGTAGCATATAATTATTAAAAACAGATATAAAAGATCAATATAATGCATAATATCCCATAACCCAGTAAAAAGAAAACGTAATTTCAAATTAAGGACTTAGTATAGGATACTTAAGATTATAAAATATCATCTGGAGGTGATAAACCCACGCTGTCATTTTTGACCATCGGTTGCTTATCTAAGCTTCCATCTTTACAGAACCCATACATTCTAAAGTACACGTACGTGTTTGCGAATTTGTGTAATGCTGGCATCGACTCAGAGACAATAATTGGCGCAATGTTTGACACCTGCAAGAATATTAAAATCCGAGGAATTTTGTAAAATTCAGTTTTCAGGATATTTTTTTTTCATTATTTTACAAATTTCTTTTTTCTCCTGAGAATAAAATTATTTTGTTCTGAATGAAACAGAATTTTGCTGAAAGTTCGATTCAAGTTTTACGCTCGATTCAATTTCACTTTCGCACTTTTCTTCTGTCGTCATCAAATGATTTGTGCAATTGTCCGGACAAACTGTTCCACAAAACTTCCCAAAAAATTATACAAAATGTAATTTCATATTATTTAGTCTCCAAAATGCGAGTGTTCTCATTTCAAGGTTAGTGAAAAGGTAGCACAAGTGCATTCAGTGCAACCAAATGCATACTTTTAGTATATTTTAATTTTGTCAACTCCAATACGGACAGGTTCATTTCTCAGTTATTGAGCAATTCCTTTTGCTTTTTTAGCGGGACAATATAAAAGTGAATGAATTAATTTAATTAGTCTTAATAAGACATTCTCATATAACTGTACACCATTTATCATTGCCAGTTTCTGATTACTCGAGCACATTTACTGATGGTGCAAGCTGAACAAAGCAGGGAATAACAATAAAACGAAGAAACCGACCTTTAGACATTTCTTTTCATTTCACCATTGGATTACTTCCAAACCACTTTTTTTGCTAATCTTTGCTTTATTGCGAGTTTGAATGTCGCAAATCTCAAAATAGATAAAATGAAATAATTTCATATGAAAATAAATCATTTAATTCTCCTTCCTAATTAAACTATTTCTTCTTTTTTTTGTTTAATTTATTTAACTAATTGTGTATCTTGCGCACATTTTAAATGAATCAGTAATATTTTAATTGTTATGGTAATCAGTTTTTCTTTTTTTTGTTATTAGCATACACATCTGCTGCTTATTTTAATTCACATAGGATTTATCAAATATTGTAAGCCACTCCCATTCTAACATATATGTATTTATATTCATTTGTTAGAGATTACTTATGCAAAATCTTTACTGATTGACCTCTTCGACCATAATTCTTTTTGTCGGTTATACTCTCCAGTAAAATTTAATTAGTATTTCAGTGTTACTCTACGCTACTGCTATCCGCACCAGAGCGAATTTCTCCAGAATGAACAGTTAGGAAAATCTCCCCTAAAGATGACAGTTAACCTTTACCAAAGTTTCGACTGTGCCAAACCAGAGCTTTCCCAAACCCAAATAAATCAAATTCATTACATAATTTTTTGTCGTGAGCCAGAATATCTGCAATTATAATTGAAGGTGGAACCAGCAAAAAAATAGAGGCTCTTCTCGAAGAAGTCAAAGTAATAGGTTTGAGCTGTTGGATTAAATGATGTCAGAAAAGAAATTCATGAACAGCACGAGGATAGAAAAGAAACTATTGAAGAAAAAGTAATACCTCTCGAACTGTATACTCGAAATTATTAATGCAAAATACTTTGGTATTTCAAGCCTTCAATAATTTTTGGTAACATATAGTGAATTTTAATTGAGTTTGAGAGAGCTTTGATTTGATACAGTCGAAACTGTGGTGATGATTGATTTCTTCTTTTGAGAGGTTTTCCTGTTCGTTAATTCTAAACAGATTCAACTTTCTGTGAGTAGCGGTAGCGCAGAGTAACCGAAATACTTCCAGTTAAATTTTATTGAAAGTATAACAGAGCAACAAGTAATTGTGATCGAGCGGTAAAGATTTGCATAAGTAATCTCTAACAAATAAATATAAATACATATATGTTTTTCACAATATCCGATGACAGGAACAAGAATTATGCTAAGAGATATCTGCTCAAAGACATTAAGGATAATAATTAATAAAGAAATTGGTCAGATCAAGATAAAAGATGTATGAGAAATGGGCTTAATGAGGAGTTGAATGAATCAGAATGTTGTTAACATTTATTTACAATTTGAATGATTAATTTTTATATGAAATTATTTTATATATATAAATGCTTCATTTTTGGAAACTGTCGAATTTGTTAAGCTTTTTTTGCTAAGTTATTTCACATTCTGCGTAAGCGGAATTTTACCATAGCCGGATCTATGAAACATTTCATTGTCGAGTTAATTTTGTGCCAATAATGAAATCTGAAGGGGAAAAGGCTCGAATTTGCAAATAACCAAAATAAAAAACAGAAAAATAAGATTAAAAGAATTAGCATTAGGACCAGAATTATTGCTCAGGTGAGGAAATTTAAAGAAATTAGTTTTATTTGTGATTAGCTAGCGAATGAATGGCATAGATGGAAGGTCGATGATTTTCTATCGAGTTAAGAATGGAAACTTTCAATGTATTTAACTTCTCAGAGCAGATAATTTCTGTTCAAATGTGAATGAATGAATTTTGAGGATTATTACTTCAAAATATTTATGGTTGTGTTATTCTCCTAATGTATTTAAATAAAGTTAAATAACAAAAAACGCAGAAAATTTTAGTTATGGAAAATAATTTACTAATTCATTTTTTGAATTTTGAAGGATTTTTTTCCAAGTATATGAATAAATACAGTTGCCGGAATATATATGTCGTAGGAAACAAAGACCAAAAAACAGAAACAAAAAAGAAATTTACTTGCCCAAAGATTAATATTTCCATTTTTGAACTTCGCAAAAATTTGCTTGCTCACATTGAAATAATCTTGTTTCCAGATAGATTGTGACAATTGTGTTCTTACTAAATGGAACCAAAATGTGTTATAATATATTGCAGAGATAAATCGGAAGGCAGGAGTAAAATTTATAGAATTGCAATTGAAAAATTGTAAGAATTATTCCACCATCATTCCTAGCTCTTTCGAGAACTGCTATGTGTCAGTGACTCAGTGTTGTTTAAAATGTCACAAACAGAGTCATATATATATTTATAAACTCTGTTCACTTTCATCGAATGTATAAATCAAGAAATACACAGAAGCCGACTAGTCAATTAATAATGAAGTTTAATAAATACGAGTGGAATAGCATTAATAAAAGTTTTCTCCTATTTGTTTACCACATTCCACACACATTTTAATTTGCATAAATTTAGTTGAATTGTGCAAAATCAAATGACAAATTTACGATCCATAATAAGTTTGCATGGTGAAATTACACTCCACACTGCTTCATTAATTACACTAATGAAGCAGTTTTTTGCATCGGAGGTCGAAATTTAATGGTTAACTCAATTTCTGATGCTTCAGCAAACCATCGGGCTTTCAGTAAGTCTTCATTTCGCTCAATTCAGGGAAACTAAAATAATTTAATTCATAACAGAAATAACGATGAACGAGAAGAACATTACTTATTTCACTTACTGTTCTAATCATTCATATGCAATTAAAATACTGACCAAAACCGAAACTAGAAATAAGTCAATCATTTTTTGGATCTAACTATCTCATATAACCAATAGCCAAGAGATCTGCGTCGCTGATTTCTTTGACTTAAGAATGATTCTAAATGATCCCTTCTCTTTTCTAAATTCACAGTAATTCAAAAATTTAATTCATTAGTAGTCGACAATTCACAAACTGCTATCTCATTAAATGATTATTATTTCAGCACATATAATGAATTTAAAAGCAACAAAATTCCTTATCATATTTACACTTCTCATTGGCACATTTTTTGTGTTATTTAATTTCTATTTATTTGCTACTGATTCGAACATAATTTTACAACAATCATTTGCTTCTTTTCGTGAAATTGGTAATGTTTTTATTATAACCTTTGCCTCGCAGATATTTTCATCTTAGTTTTGTATTTTCGAAAAATTTTCAAAAAAAAAAAAAAAAAATCAGCTCATATTAATTAAAATAAGTTTTGAAGAAGCATACAGATTTAAAAATTAATGAAAAAATTCAAGTACCGTTATGTAAGTAAAGACAATATATACTTGCATTAGAAATATTAAACAAACATTACGTCAATTTGATTTGGCTTTGCAGGCATAACTCTTCGAAAACAAAATGCTAAAAAATGTCGTCTCATGGACTTAGATCCTTGGAATCCTGAAATACTACCTTATTTGTACCCAGACTGGGACCCATTAACAGAATGCAATGTAACTCGTATTATGCATACAGAATTAAAAAATGGCTCAATTCGAATGCTTGATAACACGTACGTTGAATCATAGTTTTATTATTCTATCGATAACTTCGGCCTTATGAATTAGTCGAATTTTGTGAGTTTCTTTTAGCCGAAACAGAAAATAAAGTAGTATAAAATATACATGAAAACACGCATGAAGGCAGATAGAGATGAATGGAAATCTAAAGATAAATCCAATGTATTTGTCACAATGTATTTATGTCTCAAAAACATCACAAATTTAAGTCTGCTCATTTACTAAATCACAGCTTAGGACGTCAAAATGTGAGTATCGATGCCTTTATAAAGACGGCGAAACGAATTTTATAAGCGGTAAATGGACAGAAATGGAAAAAAATGTGACATATTATGAAAGTTGTGATTTTATCGAAACACACTGTACAGACGGAAATACGACCACGTTTCGTTATATTCATGTTCAGGTTCTTTTCAAGTTTAACCGGAAATTCCAGCTTGTTTGATTGATGATAGTTGGTTGGCTAATGCAAACGCTAGTCGGAATAAACTTTACTAAACGACGAAATATTAATTAAATAATATCAAATTGTATCCCAGATAGTAGTTGGTCGTAAAAGTTTGATTCGGATTTACTAGGCTGCCGTAGAAAAATACGGTATGAGGTTGAGTAAGTCTCGTCAATTTTAATTTGTAGTTACCAATTTGTCACTCTGCCAATGCTAATTATTGGAAACAACTAAATCGACAATATCACGTGGTAGCTTTCACAGGAATGTGTTAATGAAATGCGATGAGTAATTTTTTCAGGTAATACGACCAACACAGAAAATATTCCAAAAAGAGGATAACTTACATCCTGGGGTATTTATCTTTATCCTCGATTCCACCTCACTCTCTTCGGGAATTCGCACGATGGCCAAGACTAACCAAGTAATTTCTCGAGTATATTCCAATTTTTATTTAATGTCAATTGTTCTATAATTTCTGTATTCACTAAGTCCAATTAGTAGTATTAACAATATTCATAAATTCATAAGCCCTATTGATTCTCTAACTGACAAACACACACAATCCCTACTGATTTTTATCGAGTGGATTTTGTAGATCTAGTAGATTTCTAAGTATTTATTACTAATGATAACATATAGAACAATAACAGAAAATTATCTTAATTTTATTTATGAGCTTGGATTAGAGTTGAAAGGTCAATGAGAGTTGAACAAATTTATGAAGCGATTTGTAGATGTTCATGTAAAAGTTATGATTTTGAGATTCTCCGTCAATTTTACGATGCAACAACATTTTATCATCATAATAAAATTGCCCTTAACAGCCGGCCGAACGCTTACGCCATTTTTTCAGGTTTTTGTTTGTATCACATTTTTTAGACAAATTTGAAACATTCGATTACTAATTTTCACACTATTTATTACTAAACTTAATTTATAATTACTATTAAATGAGGGTTAAAGTTTGTATTTTTGAATATATCACATATACATATAAACGTTTGACTAAATTGAATTCCTTTTCTTTATCCTATTTTATTTCAGGAACTCGTACCATTGATTTAGATGCGAATCGTTTTCCCGGCAGAAGCAATTCAGAGCACCCATGGTTCTGTAAGGTAGGTAGGCCTATAAATAATTCATCCATTAAGCGACGAAAATTTTAGGAAGTGAACTATATTAGTAGTAGCAGGTTGACAGGTAATAATAATACTAAATATTTTTTTGTAATAGATGAAAATGTGAGTTATCTAATTCCATCATTACATTTATTTTTTATGATTTATATAGGTTGTAAATTAGTAAATTAGCAGAATTTGCAATTCATCTCTGAGACATCTAGTGAAGCACCCTGAGGTTAATTTATTCAAAATGATAAACTAAAATCAAAAAGTGCATTTTCCGATGGTGTTGAAATGGATGAAACAGTAACGGATAATTTGTAAAGTGGTCAATTAATAGAATTTGTAGTTGGTTATAGCATTCTAACTTTAATTTATTCATAATGATAGACTGAAACCGACAAGTGCATTTCAGCATGGTATCAAAATAAACGAAACGGTAACGTATGATTTTACAAATCAAACCTATGCATCGATAATGGCTGAAGATTGGCCGAGTATGTTCACCTATCCAAATTGCCATGGTTTTCCCAAAGCTCCGACTGATCATTACGGGAGGTAGTTCTGTAAAGATAGTTTTTTTTGACAATCTGAAAATCGATAAGATTTGTACTCTGTTATTGTTCATTTCTGTTTATTCCATCGCTGGAACTCCTGATTCTTTTAGATTTTAGTGTCTAAAAAGCATCATTTTTGAGTATAAGCAAAAATAGTTATTAATTCCAATCAGATATGTTTTGTATGATTGAATTACCTTCCAATAGAGGAAATTATTTGAAATAAATCAATAAGAATAATTAAGATTTTCTCAAGACAAATGCAAGGTTGTAATCAATTTCTCTGAAGTGCTTTGGTACTTCGGCCGACTAAATCAGGCGAAGAAGTTTGGAAAGATTTCAACACTCATTTCTATAAGGGAGAGTGCCACGAGTACTATCACAAGATTATGGATTTTGTGGATAAATTTTTAGACGAATACAAAGGATTTTCAAAGTTTGTTTTGGTGTGGCTATCAAGGATAGCACATAATTCCGCCAGCGGATTGTATCGAACTGATAAAGTTGGCCATTTTTTTCACTGTTTTTTTTTTTAGAAAAGTTTTTTGAATAAAATTATTATTGGAATTAGATTTTACTAGTAATTGAATGAAGCAAAACAAGTTGAAAGTTTTTTATTTATTGAATTCTATTTTAATGCTCCATTGTTTCCAGTATTTCTCTAAATTTTTTCGCAAAAATGTCGAGAATTTAAACAATTCTTTCTTATTTGTAATGGGTGATCATGGATTACGGTTTGGGAGATTTCGAAGGACTGGTACTGGATACAACGAAGACAATAATCCATTACTTATGGTGACATTAACGATAATCGATTTAATGACAATGATAATTGATGCTTTTTATCTCTTCATGTCTTGATTAATATTGATTTTACAGTTATATCTCAAAAATTGTCACCAAAGTACACCTAATCTTTATGCAAAACATCTAATCCTTGTGTTTAGCGAATGCTTTTATCAAATTCATTCTACTTCAGGTAGCAGTTCCACAATATTTGCGTTCGAATGAGCAGCTTATTTTAAATTTAAAAAGCAATTCTCGAAGACACACATCTCAATATGATATTTACGCTACACTCTATGATATAGCACGATATGCAAGGAAAAAAAGTTTCCAGAATTGGGATGAACATGATTTCAGGTTTGTTCCATTTGCTTCTCAAGATATCCTGGCGTTTGATTTTTCTTTGCATATAAGTTTGCTTGTGTTTGTATTCTAAAATTATCAAGTAGTTCCAATAAAATTTAATTGAAAAAATTACCATTGGATTCGGCTTCCAAACAGTTCTCGTAAGCGTTAATTTATTGTTAATTTGCTTTTGTTTTTGAATTTTTGAAATATTTGCCACCATTGCAGCGAAGAACTTGGCAAGGTAAGAGGTGGAATCCGAGCAAGAAGTCTTCTAAGACCCATTCAATATGATAGGTTAGCATATTGTTGTTACAGTCAGTGCTTTCCATTTTCAAAGGATAAGAATAAATAAGTTATTTCTAATTACTTTTGATGTTCACCGTCAGTTTAACAGGACATGTGAAGAAATGGAAATTCCGGATCAATTCTGTATCTGCGAAAAACAGTGGCACGTGATCGATATTCACGATGAAAATGTTATGAAAGCTGCTCAGTTCACTGTTAATGCAATTAATAATTTCTTGAAAAAGAAAGGAGCAGGCGAAAAATGCGAAATACTTCATTTAAAAGAAGTAATAATTTCAATTTAAATATTTCCTAAATCACATTAATGCACTGCGTTTGCATTACTTGTTATAACTTAATATTGACTGACTATATTTTACTGCGTCTTTTAACTTATCGAAGAAATTAACAAATGAAAATAATTTGTAAAAGTGGGAAAAATCTTAACCTCAATTGAAGCATTCCTTTTCAAGGTGATTTCGGCAGAATATATCAAGGAACAACCGTTGCTGAAAGTAGTAGTTAGCGCCTCACCAAGTGATGGGAGATACGAAACACAATTGTTGAAGAAAGCAGAGAGTTTCGAAATACCTGGAAAAGTTATTCTTTATTCTTCTTTTCTCATTTTTTTATTTGAACAATTATTGCACAAATTGCTTTACTTTAGTAAAGGTTACATCTACCACTTTTCAGTTTTTACAGTTTTGTTAATTTAGATTGTTCGAGTGAATAGTTACGGTAGCCAAAGTCACTGCGTGGATAATGATGACATTCGCCCACTGTGTTACTGTCGACAACAATTGAAAGGAATGAATGACCACTTTGTGTAAAATTTTAACAGGCTCTGTTGGAATTGTTGTACTGTCTTTCATTAGTATTGAATCATTTCATTTTAATTGTAAAACACATTTGAAAATACCGAGACATAAATTGTAACATACTAAAATACGAAATATACCTGAAAAGGTACAACCTAAAAAGGCACCCGCTGTCGTGAAAATTGGGATTCAGTCTGAACATAACCTGTGGCTTAGAGTCTAATTGGATCTTCGTATGCTTAAGAGCCTTCCTTGCTTGCTATTGTAATTGGTATAGACGAATGCGTTGAATGAAAAGACTGTTGTAATGATTTCATTCCCTAACACCCACAATATATAAATATTAATCTATAGTAACAATACTGATAATTGTGTAGAGTATCTACGAATAACATGAAGAAAATGGATAAACGAATAAATTGATGGGAAAATGGAGAGAGAGAGTAAGTGGACTGTTGCTTGTACAATTAGCAAGGTCTTTTGAACAGTGATTCATTGCTGTGTTACTCTATGGAAGGTTCAAAGGCAGCAACATTTCTCCCTCTTTTTACTGCTATTTAATCACTGCAAAGATTTTTTCATTTAAAAAGCAATGTTTCTTTTCAAACTGCGATTTCATGCAAGTCTAATTGACTTTAAGTGAAAGGAAATGACACAAAGTGTTATTCGATAAATTCGAATGCATTACTAAAACAAAAAAACAGACAAAGATGCTAAGAGATTGTTAAGAAAACCTAATTTTTAACACGGCTCTCATATTACTGTTTAATAGCTGCTATTTATATGAATTTTTTAACAGAAAAGTTAGCATTCTTAATCTTTTCAGTTAATTTAATAGATTTTGTAAATTAATCTTATAATTTCATCTCATCACAGCAACAAGTAAAATACAACTGCTCACTGAGTGCTCTTCATTATCAATGTGCAATCCTGAGCAGAGCACCAAAAATTGTTTTGTTAAATTCTTTATTAAATAAAGTTTTGACTAAACATTTCTGGAAGATACCTGCTTGCACTCTGAATAACACAACAATTAATTAGTACTCTCGCTTTTTCTACTTTATTAGATGGAAAATTCACTGCAAACAGATTGATGAATAGATCATTCACTATATTATGTGCAGAGTTAAATAATAAATTTGCTGAAATGATGGCGATCAACATAGAACGCTCACACGTACGTATAACATGGATGAAGCATTTTCATACTAACACCCAACATGTTAGCACAAGACAAGAGATAGTAACCTAACGAAACTATGAGAAATTTAGCAAACATTGTTCGAACCGTAGGTTTTGAACTGGTTTGCTAAATTTCCATCTGGTATCGCTAGGTAACAATGTTTGCTGTCTGTGTTACTGAAATTTGTCTTTTATGAAAATTAGCATGTCCATGTATGCAAATACAGTTGATGCGTATAAAACACCCAATAAATATTTTTCAGATATCTAGGAATGAAAGTTTATATGTAAAAGTGTGTAACATAGTTATGACTACATTTAATACTTATTTTTAGGAGAGGAAATGAATTCATGTAATACCTTTCGTATTGTAGTTAGTAGAGACGAATGCGTTGAATGATGTCTGTTGTAATGACTTTATTCGTTAGCAACAACAATATATAAATATTAATCTGTAATATATAGTAATAATAGTAACAATACTGGTAAGTATCTACGAATAAGATGAAGAAAATGTATAAATTGATGGGAAAATGAAGTGAATTGTGAGTGAGGGAGAGTAACTGAACTGTAGTTTACTGGTAAAGAAAAACTGAGAAAATTGATGAAGTCAAAGGATTTAAATCTTTATTTTATTTGTTGCATTGACTTGCAACAAGAGCATGATTATTGAGTAAGGGCTATCAGATGACCTTTGCTCTTTAAGAAATGGATTTTAATATTGTAGCTTCTCAAAGAATGACTATTAGCTTAGATAACCTTTACAATATTTCGACATTGTAAGCAAATTTGATTTCGAATAAAAGAGTAATTTTTAACATATTAAACAATGCACATAAACTTTATTAACTGTTGAAATTTTCCAGACAGGTGAATAGGCTCAGCTACAATAGGAAGATGAATGTTGGAATAACAACTGCTTACATGTTGCAATTTGAATTTTTCGTTAAATTATTTTTTTTTTCTTTTTTTGTATCTGTAACATTTCTAATGTTAAATTATGACAAGTTCTAGTATTATGGATTAATACTAGTATTATGGATTAATACAATTTTATTTGACATATTTTGTAAGTTATTCGGAGGTTCGCGAGATTATTTCAAGTTTCGCGACAACATTGGATGTGTAAACAAGGTGATCAAATAGCAACTGGCAAATCTCTACTCAGCAGGCAAGATTTGTTGCTAAATGTTCGTAACAAAAAGTAATTTAAACCATTTTAACTTAAAATCATAATTGAGATTAATTTAGCGAAGGATGTTCATACACATATGGTTATCATGACACACGAAGTTTTTTCAAGTTAAAATAAGTAGAACTCATTTTACCTCATTTTAAAAACATGTTGAAGATGTATAATCATGTCACTTCTTTAATATTTTACAGCTTTTGTTTACACCTTTTGAAAACTTACTGTTATTATTATCGAAACAGAATTATGACCATGCTAAATGGAAAGCAATAAGGCAAAATGTCAAATGCGTGCAAAAATTTAACTTATTAATTATTATAAAAAAACTATTTTTAGCTTTATAAATATTGTAAAATAAATGTACCCAGGTTTTAGATTTTGAAGAGAATAGCAAACACCATTCTCTACTTTTCTATTCTCATTATAACATACTCATCTATTTTCATAATAATTTTTCTGTTTGTACCCTGTTTTGATATTCATGAATATTTTCTTTTATCATCGCATAGCGATGGTAAACAAAGTTTTGTCCATCCATAGTCTTTGTTGATATCACAGACATTTTTTACCAATTTCAAACTCTTCTGTTACTTCCGAGAGCAGATTTTTGAAAGTGTATATCCATGTTACAGGAGAGTGAATCCTGGACTTGTCCTTATGTTAACTTTGTTGAGACAAAGCGCATGAGTTGAATTAAATAATAAAAATAACGATATGATAAATTTATTCATCAAAATTTACGATTAAATTAACACAAGATTTTTGTCGCTTAAGATAAATGATTACAATCACCTTCAATACATAATAAAACTAATGCAACTCATTTCTGCATGAAAAGAAAATCTCCAAATCATTTCACTTTCTCACTATTTCATCATATTACCAGCATCTCAAATAATTCCTCGAAAAACAATGCCAGGTTAGTAACAGGCTTCAAAAAACCCTAATTATAACCTACTTTCTGTAAACAACAAATTAATTACAAATCATTTGCAAATCAACCGCAAACCGTTTATAAGCCACGTACAAACTATTTACAAACCATAAACAAACCAATTACAAACGTCTGCAAACTTGCTTCATTTCATGTACTAAACAAAAAGTTTTCTGTGCCAATAAAAAAAAGTAAGATGAGCTTTCTCAAAAAAAGAACCTAGTATGACTGGAAGTGGTTCAACTTGTTTTGATAAAGATATTGCATTTTCTTAATTGCTTCAAAACCACTGCAGACAGATACCTAAATAACTTTCGACTGAGTTTGGAGGAATATTTTGCTGAATCCACTAAAACTTCTTTCTGCGAGAAAGACCGGCACTTCAAAAATTCCAAGTGATCAATCTTCTTTTGCAAGCGTAACACTCCCAGTTTTGGCTCCCTTTTGAAAAATTATCTTCAAAGCTTTCTGACATATGCACTTACCGTAAGATTAAGTGGTCCACTTTATATCCTTAATGGTAAATTGTTTTCAAGAGCAGTACAAGGAAGAAATTGATGTATCAAGGAAACAACTACACGCAGTATTCATCAGAACTTACGGATCATTATATCAATCATATACAGAGGTGTTAATTTCATCAATATGTTTAACAAAAAATCATCTGAATTTCAGAATTGACTTTTGGTTTCTCAAAAAAAAAAAAAGAATAGCGAAAGAGTAAAAACCGTACCTACTAAAGTAGATATATTCGTTAATTACTAATGTTCCAGCTATTTATTAATTTGTTATTTTTTTTTTTTTAACCAACGACTCACCTCATATCATTAATCAACGAGCAACTAGAAAAACTTGCGATGAATTTTTGATTATGCAAATTATTTATTTTCATCTCAAATATTGATCTTTACAACTGGTGATCACTAATTTTAAAATTTTATTTGTCAAATTCATCAATGAGACGTGTCTAATTTTTTCTCAGAAGCAATATATAATTTTTGTTAAACCTTTATACACGGGACAACTCAATAATTTTCATCATTTTCGTCCTAAAAATATTTTATAAGTTAATAGGGAAAATTCAAAATAACAAACGAGTAATGAACTTCAACTGATATCACATTGCGTGTAATGTCACCTGAAGTTTTCATTAAGGTTACAGTTATGAGCGCACACATTTTACACAGAATATCGTGTACTAAGTAGTACAAAAGGTAATGAGTATATCCATCTGACTACTAACCCAAACGATGAATAGCAAGCACGACCAATGTCACGCAAAATCCGTCTGCTCGCAAAAAGTGTGTACACATACTGCGGTAGTAGTGGAACAAAGTTTACCCAATGTGAAAACACTCGAATCGATGCAAAAAAAAAAACATTAACTGACCCGCGCTAATTTAGTTTGTTAGTCAAATAAGAGATAGAAGTAATTCGGGATTGATTTACTAGTTATATAAGATGGACAGAACAGCGTTTTCATAACTTCACGATAATTGGGTGAAGAGGAGAATTCAATAACAAGTTATGGAAACAATAAGGACGACAAACCCTTAAAATTTGCATATTTAAATTTTGAGGTATAGAAAGGTGCGTTATGGTTTAGATAAGTTGCCAAAAGCGAAATGATGTATTTTAAAACTCTTGGGCGACAAGCTAATTTCGATGACTCTTATTTTCTTTCGACGAAAATCTTGAAAATTA